GGGCGGCGCGGGGGCGGGGGCGGGCGCGGGCGCGGCGGCGCAGCGCGTGGCGGCGGCGCAGCCTGCCAAGCCCGCCATCCAGCTGAAGATGAGTTTTGCCCTGCCCAAGCCCTCATAAAGGGACCGCGCCTGCGTCATCAAAGCAGCTGCGCCTTTCGTTTCTTGCTTTCTACCACCACCCATTCATCCCGCCGCGCATCGTCGGCGACGCACATGTTGCTGCACCTGGCGCCAGCATTTCAATAGACAACTGCTTGCCTTGCCTTTCTCTTACAGCTCCAATGATGCATAGTTGAGGGCAATCGACGTCAAATGCGTGACTGCGCAGCAGGCTGGCCTCGCCAACCATCAAGGTAACCCCTCTGTCATGCCCTCGGCAGCCGACCGCGCGGCTGGCACAGTGGACAGCTGGGGTGCTGCAACAACCACGCGCATGGCATAGATGATCCAGGCCTCCCGAAGCAGCCGGACACGACATGCACGCGTGATGAAGGGCGCGCCAAATGGGGGTGCGAAGGCGGCCCGCACGCCGCCCCGCCTGGTTGAACAAGCAGCGGCGCTGCTGCGCGGCTGCTATGACATGAGTGCAAATGTGGGTTGCAACGAATGTGGGCACCAATTGAACTAGCGGATCCTCCTGCCTGCGAGCGCCATAATGAAGGGATGACATCAGAAAGAGCGACGCGGCCATTCGACTCGCACGCGCGCCGGCGTGAGGCGGAGGATGAGAGCACGCGGCTGGGGTTCAAAGGGGCCTGCGAATGATCGGAGTAAAACATGGGTGGGAGCGAGCGACCGCCGGTGCAAAATGTGCAATATGGCCCAGCGCAGTCGGCCGCGGCCTTGGCCAGCCGTCACGATCGGCGGGGAGGCGCAGCCGCTTTGGGATTGTCACGAATCAGGAAGATTCAAATAGGGAACCGGCCGCCCGCGGCGCGGCAGCAAACACAGGATTGAAGGGCGGGCGCTGGCAGGGCCGCTGCGCATGGCGAGCTCAAGACGCGGGGGCGCCGCAGGCTCTCCCTGCGCCCGACAATCACGGCCAGCAGAGCTTGCCCCTCCGCGCCGCCAGCTCAGCCACCCCCTGCGCCGCCCTGGCCTTGGCCCTCCTCGCCGCATCGACCGCGTCTGCCGCCGCCGCTGCGCGCGCCACCGCCGCCTCGTGCGCCTTCTTTGCCGCCGCCACAGCGCCGTCCGCGCTGCCCGCCGCGGCGGCCGCCGTCCGGAGGTCCTCCGCCGCCGCCGCCATCGCCTGCTGCGCGATCGACAGCCGCACCGACGCCGACTCCGCCGCCGCCTGCTGCGCGCCCGCCTTGCGCGTGGCCTCGCCCGCGGCCGCCTCGGCCGCGGCGACGAGCGGCGCGGCGCCGGACTCGCCGCCGGCGTGCGCGGCGTCGATCACAGCCTGCATTGCGCCCACCTGCGCGGCGAGCGCGCCCCGCTCTGCCTCCAGCGCTGACAGCTCGGCCTGCTTGGCCGCCAGAGCGGCGTCCGCCTCCGCCACTGCCTTGGCCCGCTTCGCGACCTCGCGCTCCGCCATCGACACCGCGCGGCTCCGCGCCTGCACGAGCGCCGCCGCGTCCGCCGCGCGCCGCGCCGCGTCCGCAACAGCGGCCGCCGCAGCGCCGGCGCCGGCGCCCGTGGGCGCGGTGCCGTTGCCGGCGAGCTTCGACGCGGCGGCGAGCGCCGCGAGGCGCGCGGCGGCGACCTGGGACTCTGCGAATGCGACGCGGTCCTGCGCCGCCTCGGCGGCGTCGGCCGCCGCCTTGAGGGCGTCCGCGGCGGTCCGCGTGTCGGCGGG